GGAAAGATAAATCTAGTAATTTAATGGGCTTTCCTCATGGCTACGTTAGTTTATATTAATTCTTGTTAGTTTATATTAAAATTGATTTCTAAGTGATTCACTAGAATTACCTTTCATAGGTTTTTTGTTTGTTTGTTTTAGAAACTAAGGTCCGATCCAGCAATTCCACTCTCATGCATGCACAGGTGTGCACTTGTCTGTGTATTCCAGAGAAATGTACACTTGCGTACATCCAGAGAGGTGTAAATTGTTCTTAGCAGCATTATTTGTATTCATCTCAAATTAGAAACACAGAATATCCATCAATAGTCGAATGGATGAATAAACTGTGGTGTAATCATAAGGAATTATGATGTCTATAACTATATAGTGGAATATTATACAGCAATGAAAAAAGAATAAATTAGTGCTACACACAAGAAGAGGGATACATCTTAAGACGTAATGTTAAAAGAAAGAAGATACAAAGTATACATAGCAATCTTATTTCATTTATGTAAAGTATGAAAACAGACAAAACTAAACTCTGTTGCTAAGGGTTACAGACATAAGTGGCCAGGAATTTATTACTGAAAGAATTAGGATAGTGGTTCCCTCTGAAGGGCATGCTGGGAGAGAGAGAGGAGTTGCGGGGCTCCTGCAAGTGCTGGCAATGTTCTGGTTTTTGACAGGGGCTGGCAGTTGCGTGGGTAATACACAGTATATACATCAAACATTAATGTTTCATGTGCTTTTCTGGTTGTGGGTTAGAGTTCATAATTTTAAAAGTTTTTAAAAAGGCAAAATAAACTCTTTCCAACCCAGGTTGGTTTATCCTTGTCCTGCATAGTTTTAGGCCAAGAGATTCCTGTGATTATAAGTGACTCTAGAAGTAAACTACTGCCTCACTGCCTGGCAAAGTGGCCTCCAAAATAGGATATGTACCCACAGGGAGCTCTTGAGAAGATTCATTTGGTTGAGAAAGACATTGATTAGAATTTTCATTTACATTCATTTTATTATCATGAAACATTATGATAACAGATGGTGACTATATTGGCACTGGCATCATTCCTGGGTCCACGTGTCAAATGGTCGAGTATCACCTGGAGGGAGGGAGGTGAGGCCTCCTCTTCACAGTGGCTTCCCCTCTGGCTCATCTGCTTTGGTTATTTTGTGGAATCTATCATGCCTGGTCAACTGTATTTACAAATTCTGTGTTTTAGTTTTAACAAACCCTCACAGAGTCTTAAAAAGATTCTCCAAAGAATTCCCATAAATTGAAGATAATTTTAATATTGCAAGCAACAAGAAAATGTCAAAGTTTAACATGAACTCTGTCAGCCCTGTTATGAGGTAATGACAGTGCTCATCTAATCCGATCTTGCAAGAAGCTGGCCACCAAAATTCTAAATTATCTGGAAGACATACAGATTTATATCCACTGTGGTTAATTAGTCATGAATCTCGTTCTGGGTGTATTTGACTTGAGACATCATGGTTAGCAAAATAGTACATCAATTCTGTCATTCTATTCTATTTTTTTATGTTTTATAATGTATATACAATAATACATGTATACGAATCGTAACAAACGATTATATATGGTTAGTACAATAATACATATATATTAATCGTAAACAAACAGCCAAACCTTTTTTTGTTCAAACATGTAAGAT